TTGCACAGTAACTCAGCTTTCTTCAGAAGGGCAAGAGTTGATCTGATCAGCTGAGTTGAACAGATAAAAGAAAAAAAATCTACATCCTAAGGCTTATAGTTTAATTTGTTTTTGTTCTTTCATCTTACCTAAAAGATAAGCTTAAAATTAGAGGAGATGGAAATTCTAAGTGCTATGCCCAGTATATTTTCCTCAATTCAAAAAGTTACCTTAAAAATATAGCTCATATTTCTATTAAATTTTGAATTGTTTTCTATTTTCCTTAATAAGTCTCTACCTTTTAGTAAAAGGTGTCAGGGGTAAACAGTGTCAGGGGTAGGGAGATTGGTAATTTCCTTTTGTACGTTTCAATAAATTATCACAGAGAATTTCCTTAGAACTGATTCAACCATTGAGGTGCCTTTATGGCTCAGTCGGTTAAGTGTCGGATTTTGGCTCTGATCATGATCTCACAGCTTGTGGGTTTGAGCCCTGCATCACGCTCTGTGCTGACAGCTCAGAGCCTGAAGCCTGCTTCGGATTCTGTGTCTCCCTCTCTCTCTGCCCCTTTCCCACTCATGCTGTCTCTCTCTCTCAAAAATAAACATTAAAAAAATTAAAAAAAACAGAACTAATTCAATATCGTCTTTCTTTTTAAAATAGTTTTCACACCTGAAATATCCCAGTGGGTTTTTGAGATTTGTATAATATACTTATTTCAATTTATTTTTAGTAAGCATTTCCTCAAAGCGATATAGTATGATAGAGACAGTCCTGGTACACTGGTACATTGTATTTACAAGACAAACAAGCAAACAAGCAAAAATACTTCCAGTTTAAGGTTTTATATTAAGCAAAAGTCAAAACTATTTTGGGAATTTTGAAATGATAAGTGCTATTATGTAACTACCACTAACTAAAATACCTGTGTTAGACTGCAAAGTTCTCACACCACTTCCTCAAAACTTACTTCTCATCACCCTGGGTTTCTCAAGTTTGCATAATGAGATCATCATATTTAATGTAAAATGCCATATTTATTATAGCTCTAAAAGATAGTGTTTTCTCTGCTTATAAATCTTGCTGCACTATCATATTTTCAGATGTAGATTTCACCTGCTCAACAAATGATAGTGGGTCCACAGAATGCAGGAGCTATTGCGTAGTCTTACAACAACAAAGAAATAAAAATCTCTGTCTTCATCCAGATAATGTAAAGCAGCAGAAGGTGGTGAAGATATATGAGAATCTCACTTCTTCCATAGACAGCACTGAAAAATGTATTTATTTGCTCTAGTTCTTTCCAAATGGAACTACAAGCCAATGGGAGCCTAACAAATCACTGCTTGCACCCCTCATAAGTATTTAAGAGTGTGCTCGATTTTTAAAATTTATTCTAAGACATCAGCTAACTGTATTTCTCCATGTAATTTCTAGCCCAATTTAGAACAAACTCTCAGAATTTGTCAAGCATACTATCAGAAAAATTGTTGTGAGTTTAAATTAAATAGACCATAAGTTTTCCTACTATAACTTTCTAATTTTAGCAGTTAAAAAAAAGATATCTAGAAGTCATAACTTTCAAGTGACTTGTTAAAGATTAAACGACAAGGCTAAATCTAGAATGTCATTGGGCATAATACTATATGATAACACTTTTTTCAATTGAAGTGTAATTGACATATAATATCCTATTAGTTTTAGTTGTCCATCCTAGGGATTCAGTATTTTTATACATTACAAAATAATTCCCGTGTTAAATCTAGTTACCATCTATCCCCATACAAAGCTATTACAATTATTGACTAGATTCCGTATGCTGCACATTATATCTTCATGATATTTATTTAATTACTGGTAGTATTTCTTAATCTCCTTCACCTATTCCACCTGCCTTTACACCCTTCCCTCCTTTGGTAAGCAAGTTTGTTTCTTGTATCTATCAGGCTGTTTCTGCTTTTATTTCCTTGTTCATTTTGTTATTTAGAATCCATATATGAGAGAAATCACACAGTATTTGTCTTTCTCTGTCTGACTTACTTCGCTTAGCATAATACACCTCTCGGGTATTGCAAGATTGTTGCAAATGATGATACTTTCTAATAGCACGTTATCAGTCTATTGTCTAAAATATAAATTTGCTTATATACCTTTTTATAAATGAATGAAAGTATACTTGAAAAATTAAGAAAGAGGTCACTCATCACAAATTCCAAATAAATGGGACATAAATTCATGAAGTTGGTGAGTTCATTATGTAATTCTTACTGAAATTCCTGGGAAAGGAGGATACCAAATCTAACTGTAGTGAGTGCCACAGTTTGAGCACTTCATCAACACAAAACCTTTGCTCTTCAAGCAGTAATTATGAAAACTCAGTCATTAATAAACACTTATCATATATTAGAGTTAATTATAAAACTTTGTAATTAATGCATATATTGGCATAGCAACAGCAAGGTTTTGGCAAAGGGGTTTTGCCTGTTTCAGGCAACAAAGGGGTCGTTCTGGTGCAGAACTTATAAACAACAATGACATCAAGTCTCACCACACACTAGGTTGTCAAAACACGTTAAAAATAAAATTTTTCACTTCAAAAATACTTTCTGTGCATCTAATTTCTAAACAATTACTGTTGAGTTTTGATAATCCAACTTCTATTAAGGTTTGAATTAGCATACATTTAATTTCTTATTCTTTAATAAACATTCTACTTAATTTGGAGAATTCCCATGGTACAATTTACCCCCAATTCATTTAATTTCAGCTACATTTGCCTACTTGGGGAATAAGAATCCAAGGTTTTGAGGGTTTTTTGTTTACTTGTTTTCATTTCTATAGTGACTGTGGAAGCATTATTTTAGGTCTACTATATAAATATAGTAATTTTTAGTCTTACAGGAGCTAGTATCTCAAAATTCCCTAAAAGCCAGTTCAAACTATTTTGAACTACATAATAAATTACAGAAAAATTTATCTTATATGATAAAATTTGGTATAGAAATTTTTTTGGTGAAGTTATTATATGAGGTGGAAAATTTTTGGATTTCCAAGACATTTGAAAGCTGCTAGAAACGATTTCAAAGAAACAAAAACTCTTTATAGTACTGTAATTTCTGGAATTTATTTTGAAATTGGATGCTTATAAATCTATGCCCAACTTTATAACTATTGTATGTATGTTAGTTCATTTGAAGGAAATTTTTCAAAATTAAACTTAAATTTATGAGTGAAGATAAATTGACAAATATGGCTATGCTATTTTATTAAACATGAAAACATGAAGGTCAGTTTTGACCCACTCATTAACAAACTTGCAAAAGTTAAGGCTCAGAAAAATTTTAATGTTATTATTTGTTACTGTGATGGACCAGTGAATAACTGTTTTCCCCTTTATCTCAAAAACTACATTGATTTTAATTAAAAATGTTAATCTGTTATTTTTTTCCCCTTTTATACGGTATCAGTTTTCTGTTTCTGCTGTAACAAATTACTAAAAATTTAGTGGCTTAAAACAACACAAATGTATTATCTAATATTCTGAAGGTCAGAAGTCCTAAAAGTGATGTGTCTGCAGACCTGCATTCCTTCCTCAACCTCTGGAAAGAATTTGTTTCCTTGCATTCTAAACTAACTCGTAAAGGTTCTCTGCATTGCTTGGCTGGTGGCCCTTTACTTCATGTTTAGTTCAGCAGGTAGCATTCTCAAATCTCTCTCTGTCTCCTTCTCCCTCAATTTCCCGACACCATGGTCTGAAGGTTTGTGACCACCCAAATTCTTATGTTGAAACCTCATTCAATCTGATGGCATTTGGGGGTGGGGTCCTTGGGAGGTAACTTGTTATTAGATATGGCTCTCATGAATGAGCTTATAAAAGGGTTTCCAGAGAAATCCCTGACTATTCGGCCATGTGATAGCCATCCATTAAACAGGAAGCAGGTCTCACCAGACAACGAGTCAGCTGGTACCTTGACCTTGGACTTCCAGCTTAAAGAACTGTGAAAAATAAAGTTCTGCTTTTAATGAGACACCCAATCTCTGGCACTTTGTCACAGGTGCTGGAATGGATTAAGACATTCTTCCTTTCACTTCTTCTATTGTCATATCTCCTTAACTGTGACTCTAACCCTTGTTCCTTCTTTTATAAGGACCCACCTAGTTAATCCAAGATAATCTCCCTATCTCAAGATTCTTAACTAATCATATCTGCAAGATCCCCTTTGTCATATAAGGTAACATGTTCACATATTTTGTGGATAGGCTGTGGACATTTGAGGGGATCCATTATGAAGCCCAACATATATACATGTGTACTGTAATATTATATATTAATACACTTATTCATCAGATGAATATATATATTCATATATATTATACACATTCATGAAGTACAATAAAGCAAAATGATCATTGTCTTTTCTGGCAATTATGATCCTTTATTTCATTTCATGATTATTATAGAAGATAATTTTGTCATATGAAAGCAAAAGGATGTTATAAATAATTCATCCAGATTTCAAATAATCTAGATATGTTACTGGAAAACAGTCTGCTATTTCTCTTAAATACAACAAATATCTTCTCTACAATTAAATAATAAAAGAAACATCCACAGGAACAAATGAACCATTGTGGCTCATTCTTTTAATTAACTTTCTAGGTCAAATACTACACTCATAAACCACAAATCTGAAAAATAAAATGCAAAAACTATTTGATTCATAAAATACTTTTTAAATGTAGAATTTAAAAGGTCTTTATATTGATGTTACGGGTTGTTTCAACACTGATACAGTAAAAATGTCTACCACCTGTTTTGGTAGAAATCAATTTTTCTTTTGTTACTTACCTGTTTAGAGGCAGATGTCCAAGTGCTGCCTGATTTTATACAGTAAGAGAACATAGCAAGACAGATTTGTTAAAAACAAAATTCCTAATGGCATATGGAGGCTTTGTTTTTCCTCTTCCTCACAGCAACTAAGATTAATGAACAAAGAGCAAGTGACTGACAGAAAACCTACCCATGGGGGTGCCAACGCCATAACCTTTGGAGTCTATAAGGCCGCCAATCTGTGTCAGGTTACAATTCCGCTGGGTAACAAACTCGATGGTCGTTGACTCCATTAAGAAAGCATAATCAGAGGTGAGGACTCTCTGGATTCCTTCTTCATTACTTTTAACGAGTACTGACTGCCTCCTGCTACTCATAAAGGCCCACATTTTGTCATATGTAGATATTTTTGATTTCTAGGGGAAAACAAAGTAGGTAAGAAATATATTCCTTAGTTCCCATATGATCCTACAATATTTAGATGGAATTGACTATATTTCATTTAAATTTATTTAAAAAACGTATCTAAAAACACTTAATGTTCAAAAATGTACAGCTGGTAAATCATAGAATCCAATAAAAAAAAGAGAAAACAACAAGATTAATAAGGAGGAACTTTTGTGTTGTATCTCACATGAGTATCTCATGTTCTATAATTTTATCTTTCACCATTACTATAACATCAAATTCAGAAGACACAGACCCTGGACATCAACGGACACTGTAAAACCTTGAGGTTTTTCTGTGTATTTCTGGTTTGTTTGTTTTTGTTTGTTTTTTTTCCTAGTTTGGTTGGCTATGAGACCCAATGTCACATCATCCTCCACGAATATACAAGGATGTAGGTTGAACAAATATAAGGAATTTGTTACAAGTACACATTTCACTGAACTGCAGAGCCTCTGGTAGCAGCTGGCTTCAAGACAACAGGAAAGCTGTCATTCAAATCTACAAACCAACTAGAGACCCCTGGACCAATAAAACGGGATAGTTTTTATATCCAACTGAAAATTATCAGTAAGACTTCACTAGGATTTTATTAGCAAAGGAACAAAGTGGCTTTTGTTCAGAAGGCACTGGTAAAAACATAAACATGAAAAGGTTACTGTCTGCTTATGGGGAGCTCATCTGTAAGCCCTTATCCCAGGTAAACTCTTATACAAATACAAAAAAATAATACTGAAGCTATAAACACAAGGAGGATATTCACTCTATTGGTTGCACTGTCATAGAAAGTTAAAACTATTTTCAAATACATAGATATGCAATCTTTTTACAGTTTAAGCATGTATTTATCCTACATGTGCCAGGTCATAAATGAGATATTACCACTCCTTCCACTAAAAGACAGGTGCACAATAATATTTAGAAAAGTTCTGGCATGATTTCAATGGTAAAATAGGAAGAAAAACCTTAAATTTATTAGAAGAAGAAAACCTAAACATATAATGAGTGTTTTCTAAACACAAGTATAGCATTAGAGCTGAGAGGGTAGGAATTCAATCCTTTACTCTTCAATGAAACACTAAAGCATGCTAAAAAGCCAGTGGCTCAAAGTTTGAAAGACTGCAGTTAGAAAGTCTAGAATAAGATTGATAGGATTACATATCTGAGCAGCCATGGTGGCATGTCAGTAATTTTAAAGTAAAATAATCATATGTTGGAAGTAGGAAAGATAAATGAAAAGAATATTTAAGGTTATGATGAAATCTTTATTGGAATAGTTAAGACCAATATGATTTTTTTTTTCTTTTGAGAGAGAGAGGGAGAGAGTACACACATGCGTGCAGGCGAGGAGCAGAGAGGTAGAGAGAGAATCCCAGGCAGGCCCTGCTCTGTCAGTGCAGAACACAACTCAGGACTCGAACCCACAAACCACGTGATCAGAACCTGAGCAGAAACTGAGTCAGATGTTGAACCAACTGAGCCACCCAGGCAACCCACAATAGTGAGATTTTGCATATATTCATCTGGCTTCCCAAACTGGTAACATAATGTAAGAGCCAGCACTTCCTTTCAAAGATAAAAAAAAATTCTACTAATGCTTTGCATTAAGCGAGACTTAAATACAAAATAAAATCAAAATTAAAGCTCATCGACAGATTAAGGAGATTTTACATAAAAAAAAATTAAATTGGACATATTTGTTGATTTAGCAAATCTATGGCTGATAAAAAAATAGATACAAAATACCACAAATCATAATTCTAAAAATGTAAGTCATCAACTGCAAACCCAACACTTGATAATTTAAAATGTAACTCTTTGGCAGGCCTGGGTGGCTCAGTCAGTTAAGCATCCGACTTTTGCTCAGGTCATGATCTCATGGCTCACGGGTTCAAGCCTTGCGTCTGGTTCTGTGCTGACAGCTCGGAGCCCTGGAGCCTGCTTCAGACTCTCCCCTTCTCTCTACACCTTGCCCACTCACACTTTGTCTCTCTCTCTCTCAAAAATAAATAAACCTTTAAAAAAATAAGTAAAATAAAATATAACTCTTAAACAAAGAGTGATACTGAAATATCATGGTATTATGATATTATGGCATATACTCTCTGAGGCCTAAACCAAGTGGAGAGATAAGAAAGTACACAAAAAGTTATTTTTACCTGTAGTGGCCAGAAACTGCCTAAATTCTCTCCTTTGTTTCAATTATAAGAACATTAAGATTTAATGTTTTGTTGCTTTAGTTACATGATTTCCAATTAGCGATAACACATTCCATCCATTGATAAAAGTTAATTTAAATAAAACTTGAAGACTAGTGTTTTTGTCCCAAAAAGAAGGGGACTCAGAATTTTTACAATGGTAATAATCCTTTAAATATGTCTATATATTTATAAAATAATACATAATTATATATTCCTCTTTTTATAGTATTATTTTATATATGTTATATTCTAATATGTAATATAAATTTTAAAATACTAATAGTACTTTCTAATTTAAAAATTATACAATAGAAGCAACCTAAAAAAGAGAAATTCTTTTTTAACAGTACAATAACATTTCCACTGTTAATATGTTGCTATATAAACAGATCAAACTCTTTTTAACAACTGAAAACCAAGAAACTAAGGACTATTTCTAATCTATACCTTACAGATATATATAGTTTAATTTTAAATTAATGTGACTGTAGTATTATTTTACATTTGAAATATCTAATTTATAAAATGAAACTTTAATTGACTAAATATAGATTTTACAAAATGTGTTTTCATATAAAGTTCTCTGAACACTTTCCTGCACTGATATTTTCTTCTTATGAGCACCTCTTAGAAATTACTATTGATAATCATTTTGAAAAGAATCATTTCCAACCTTCCACTTCTATATAAGATCTCTCATTGATTTATTCTGATTTTCAGAAATCTATTGTCTATGATTTTTGTACAGCTTCACTCATTTTTCCTGTATGCAGAAGATACAAGTATTTCTGTTATTCTTAAAGTTGTAGAATACATTTAGATAGAGAAGTCACCCAACTTTTTTTTTGTTTCTCTTAATAAAAATAAAACCCCAAATAAGAAATATTTCAGTTTAGAAATATATATTCTATGATGATTGGTTGCTTGATTTATTGTCATTCTTTGACCACAATTTCTTTTTTAGCATGGGCACTTCTTTGCACCTCTCATTTATAGCTGTAAAACACAACTGTAAAACCCAAAGTGTGATTAAAAATCACAGTCTCTGTAGACTCTTTGTGTGTGTGATGGGCGTGGAGGTGCCTTTCAATTCTCACCTATTTCTACAGGAAGTTGAAAAGGCAGACTAACCTTTGGCATCTCCTGGCAATTTTATTACTTCTATTCTATTGAATAGTAAAGAGAACCCAGTGTCAATGGTTTAAAAACAAAAGGACTGCACAACATGATTTTTACTGAAACTTTCAAATTTGAAACCTTCAAATTTAAAACAGCAAAGACAGCTTGCAATGTATTTAAACAGAGTATTGAACAAATTCATAAGCTGAATAGGAAGCTTAGGATGCTTTTTTCTCTACAAACCTAACCATTCTGAAATAATTGGTTACTTATACTTAAATAATATGTATATTCTGAATAACACAGGCTGAGACAGAAGTAATGATCACTAGCTGTATGTCTTGTATTAATGTACTAATGGAATCTCTGTTCTTATACGAGCCATTTAATCTTTTTGATTCCAGTGTGCATAGTAGTCAAATATCTTTGCCAACTTTGCAATGTTCTTGTGAGCCTCAAATAAGACACTGCATGGGAGCATACTGTGCAATAGTATTTTTATAAATCCAATTATTTTTTAAAAAGAGACCATACTACCACCAAGTGCTTATATGTAAATTTTCCTTAAAAAAATACCAAGAGTGTGGCAAAGATGGCAAGTTGACTATCACCTTTGAGTACATGTTCTCTCCTATGGTATGAATCCACAAGGCACAAAAGAATGGAATGTACACAGAAATGGAAGCTAGAAAGCAGAAGGGTGAATTGTAACTCAGTTAAGAAAACTTTATAACCATATTTCTCCCACAGAAGTCTCAGAGATTGGAATTTCTGTATCCAATAGAAATAGATATAGAATGATCTCAAAGCCAGAAACTTTGATCAAATTTCTAACAAAAGTAAAACTTATTGAAAGAATGTCTTTAAAAGCATTAGATCCTTGATCCCCTTCTTTTTTCTGAGCAGCATCGTGACTGCTCCACCCCGCTCAAGCAGACGACTTGAACCTTTATTCTCTCCAGAAAGAGTTTTATTCTCTCCTTTTTCTGTACTGTTCTTAGAATTCCTCCAGAAGAGACAACAGAAGATTTTTTTCAAGCAAAACTGAACTGCACCACAGAGAGAATAATGATGATGATCATCATTGTCATCATAATATCAGTTAACTCAGATAAAGTTCAACATGTGTGGTACATTATTCTAAATTACTTATAAATATTAAATCACTTAAATTTTACAAGATTTCTATTAGGTGATAAGTATCTTTTCTGTCATCTTACAAATGAGAAAACCAAAACAAAGAGAGGTTAATGATTTGCCCAAATTCATGTGCCTACATTAGCTACTGTGTTTATATCCATAATCATTGCACTACATCAATTCTATATAAGGGCACATATCATGGATTTGTACAAAATGATCTAACACATCACCCTCTTTGCAAGGCTTACAGGTTTTCACTTTGCACAAGCATCCAGAGTTTCCAGTGAGCCTTGTAGAGTCTGTAATAGATTATCAAACAGCAAGGATAACCAAATAGTCGAAGAGAGCCTCTAACATGAAATATAAAGAACAAAACAAACAAAATAGTATAAATGTCCTCAAAGAGTTAAAAGATAAACAAAAAAATTAACGGACTCTGTTGAAAAAAATTGTCAGTTTTCTGATATCAAGGGGTGCCTAGGTAGCTCAGTCAGTTAAGCATTGGA